CCTCTAATCCACATCATTACCCTCTTCCCCACATCATTGCACTCTAATCAATATCACTGTCCTCTACCCTACATCTGTACACTCTACCCCACATAACTGCCCTCTAATCCGCATCACGACCCTCTAACCCACATCACTGCCCTCTATCCCACATCACCGCCCTCTACCCCACATCACTGCCCTCTACTCCACATCATTACACTCTACCCAATATCATTGACCTCTACTCCACATTACTGCCCTCTAATCCACATCATTACCCTCTACCCCATATCATTGCCCTCTACTCCACATCACTACTCTCTAACCCACATAAATGGACTCTAATCAATATCACTGTCCTCTACCCTACATCTGTACACTCTACTCCACATATCTGCCCTCTAATCCGCATCACGACCCTCTAACCCACATCACTGCCCTCTATCCCACATCACCGCCCTCTACCCCACATCACTGCCCTCTACTCCACATCATTACCCTCTATCCCATATCATTGCCCTCTAATCCACATCACTGCTCTCTACCCCACATCATTGCACTCTAATCCATATCACTGTCCTCTACCACACATCTCTTCACTCTACCCCACATAACTGCCCTCTAATCCACATCACGACCCTCTAACCCACATCACTGCCCTCTACCCCACATCACTGCCCTCTACTACACATTACTGGCCTCTACCCCACATCACTGCACTCTACCCCACATCACTGCCCTCTACCTCACACCTCTTCAGTGATCCAGGTTGTATTTCGTGAGAATCACACCGAATTTCAGGTCACGAACCTGCTAATTCTTCTGCAATCCATTGTGGTCAGGGACAGACAGATGTAAGTGGTTTGTGTGTTCTGCACTTGAAAACAATGACAAACAACTGGGCGGTTACATGACCATTTGATATTTATTGAAGTCTATTTGATTTTAACTCACCATTTACAATCTGTTTGTTAATTAGATAAACAGTCAAGAGCAGATATCACTCTTGTGACACATGGTGGGTGCTGTCATAACATCAATTCTCTTTTGTTTGCTCATGTACTTTTACCATTATTCCCAAAACTAATACTCGCCGTGGTTTACAGAATAAACATAGAACTTTCTGGTTCCAATACAAGTTTCATCTGAAACTGGATCTATTTTTAACCAACTGACCAATGACTCATTTTAGGAAATAAAATAACATGATTGATATAATTCAACAAAAAGAACTAAGCAAATATGTGCAGATATCTAATAATTTTGTCACAATGAATGTTTTAAAATGACGAGAAAATAAAAAAAATTCTTAAGCGCAGTTGCAGTCTAGAATCGTAAGCATAAAAGTAAATTCAAAACAAATTAGAAAAGGATTAAAATACAACCATTTTCCGTGTAATATCATAACACTAGCGAAGGCGTCAGTTTACTGCAATGTTTAAAATATGCATTATATTCACCCTGAAATGCAAACAAATCATTCTGAAAATCACAGAAGAATGTTTTACACAGAACACACATGGAAACTTGCTATCACAGAAAGATGTGACACGGTTTCATATTAATTGCGTTGGTAAGTTGTTGGAACGTGTATATTCATCTTATCCACTGGTTTTCTATCTAAAGATAATCAGTAATTATTGGTGATGAAATTTCGGTTGAATGGCTCTGCAAAATAGACAATAAAAGATATTATTTAAAGGAAATAAGTTTATTCTCATCAATAACATAATATTGATCCATTTGTAACATCCTAAAGTACAGCACGTTGGCAATGACAATCTCTGGGGCTGTTACTTTGGTTTCATTCACCGGCTGCTGTTTGAGAGACTGTTTCCAACTGTTTTAGTTAATATTTCAGCCATTTGATTCGACATTTATTAAGGAAGAAGGACGTTTTACGCTCAAATAGCAGAAGGTAAAAACAGCTTTTGATTCAGGAAAATAAAATAAAAGTTCTGCGAGTAAAGTATAGGAACAATAATCTCTGAGTCAAATAAAGAAAATAGTTCCAACAGTTTAGAATAGTAAATATAAATTAATATTTTAGTCGCATCCAACCATGGATCACATCACTGTGAAGTTGCTGACAAGAAGTTTTTAATTTTAGTTCCATCATCAATTGGCGTGAATACATGTGTGACGGCTGCACATGATCACTGCCATTCTGTCTAATATCAGCCTCAAGTCAGGAGTGTGAATGATTAAAATCACTGACCGGTGTTGGTCAAGTTGTATAACCATTACAATCACCTGTAACTGTGACTACTCGTACACATGTCACCAGGACGATCATATCAATCATTGGCGGCTTTCTGTGATGTAAGTAATGCTGTAAATCATGAAGACCTAAACTCACCTGTTTGATGGGGATGTTGCGATCAGACGGTGCAGAGCTCAGGAGATTCCCTTTGATTCCCGACGGGAAGTTGTCTGTTCTTCTCGGTGTCATTTTCACAGTCAATATCATCGTAATCGTAACCACACTGACTGGTGTCAACAGGAAACAGCGGGTCACTGTCTGTGTGATGTCCACCCTCTGTAGAGAGAACCATCATTTATTTACACGCCTCATAATAATCCCTACAAAACCCAAAATAATAATAAATTGGTCATTTTCAATCTACGACCGTCTGTGGGACATTGCTGTGCGCAATTCGCTGCCGCGTTCGCCCACAACTATACAGTCAATTCACTTTACAGTGTGTTCTGTGAAGCGCTTTGGGACGTCGTCCCGACGTGAAAAGCGCTATATCAAATGCGAGGATTATTATTATTATTATTATTATTACCGATCATTTCAAGATCAGAGACACTGTGTGGGTGTGTTTGTCTGCGTACATTGTGTGTGTCTGTATATGTGTGTGTCTGTGTGTGAATGTGAGTTGTCTTTGCGATTGTCAATGTGTGTAAGTCTGTGACTGTCTGAGTGTCTGTTTGTTGAGTTGTCTGTGTGGTCTACGTGTGTGAGTGTGTGTGTGTGTGTGTCTGCGAGTGTGTGTACGTTGCGTGTGTGCCTGTGTGTGTATATGTGTGTTGTGTATATCTGTTTGTCTCTGCGTATGTTTCCCTGTGAGTTTGTGTGTGTGAGTGTGTGTGTGTGTGTGTGTGTGTGTGAGAGAGAGAGAGAGAGAAATACAGACTGGAAAAATAACCATCGTGTATTTTTGACTGTGTGGTTTAACGCCATCGCTACAATCAGATTATTATCACTTGAAGGGTTGGGTCTTCAAGATATAATTCCTCCTCACTTTTTAAATTTTAATGGGATGAGTAATTTTTAAACCTCCATTTAAAAAATGCACGATAGTGGTGTAAACGATTATTTCCTTAACGACATCTTTGTTGTTGTTAACAGGACGTAGAAACAAGAAAATCTGCGTTAATCGGTAAGTCACAGCACCATTTTATATGTGCAGTTATTCACACTGCACAGAGCACCATTCTGTATGTGCAATTATTGGCGTTACAGAGCGCCTCGGAGATGAATTCATCAAACCCTGAAATATCCATTTCAGATTGCACATCGACCACTAATTATTCTGATTTTAGATATCACAACAAGGCCAAATATCTCCAGCTGCCCTATTACCAATCCCATGGTGCAAACACGTACCAACTCGCCTACACATACAGTCACTACACATTGAAGCCTGTCCGAGACGTCCTAACTTGAAAGGCACTGCACAATTGTAATTCTTGTTGTCCTTATGCCATTACATTTCTGTATGGAATGGAAGATTGATGATAATTGCGACTGTGATGATGATTTTCACTCCCAGATGTGTTGCTGATTAAATATCTCCCGCAGTAAGTTAAGACATGACAGTTCGGCTCTTACCCTGACAGAGCGAGGCTTCCTGGACAGTGTGACTGGTCAGTGTGGGGACATCAGGGTGTGTGTCAGTGACCAGGAGGAGGCCCCGGTCCGCCATCTGGAAGGTTCCGCTCTCAGCGTCGTCGTAATCTTCCTGAAGATGATCTGTTAACAGGGAGTCAGTCTTACGCACTCAAACATTCAGAGAGGAAAAGGAGGCAGATATCATAATATTATACAGCACAGAAGGAGGCCATTCAGTCCATCTATTGAAAGAGCGACCAAAATTACTCCAAATCTTCCGCGCTCTGCAAATTTGTCTTCCCCAACTATCTATCCATATCCACCCAAATTTGGACACAGTGGTGCTCCAGGTATCTTTTGCCTGAATGACTGAAAAAATACTGAATTTCTTTTTAGATACTTCATCTGAAGATTAAAGCTTGTTTTACTGTGAAAACTGGATAAATTGGGAGCTCTTTGGCCTCTGGGTCGGAAGTTTCTGATTGTAATCCACTCGGGGACTAAGATCACACTCTGGATAACACTCCACAGCAGTGCAGTGCATTGAGCTCCGTTTGGATGTTTAGCTGGAATTTAAATATTGCAAATCTCAAAAGGGAAATAGTTCTTATCCTGGAGGGTTGCCCCACATTCCTGATTACTGTGCATATTTTGCGCACAAATTGCCTTTGCAGTTCATCAATAGATAAACAATCACTATAAATCACTACAAACATATGTGAAGTCCTTTGAAACGTCTCGTCTAATTGATCAGAGGCTGTATAACATACAATAATTTTTCACTCACTCACCATTCGGAAGAAACACCTCAGCGTTTCCTTGTTCTGCATCAGATCCATTCACACTCTCCCCAGTGTAGTACTCCAGTTTACTGATAGAATCGTTGGATCCTGAAACTGTGCAAATAATGTCATTACTGTCCCATTACAGAGGTTCTTAGAGCCTAATTCGACTCCAATATCAAAACGAAGAAAGGTATCAAAAATGAGAGTTTTTTTCCGAAATCGTGGATCACTTTCCATGGATGAAAATATGGTCAACCGCTCAAAAATATGATGTTGATCAAAAGAAAATCTTTAACATACCAGGAGCAAGTTGGTTAAATAATATTAATATGATTTTTGAATACTGCCTCTGTTTGGGTTACAAATGATATATTTGACAACATGGTATTATTTTAGATATTCGCTGGGACTACAGACACACAATAAGCATGGCTTATATTTGTTTCTGTAGGATTCGTTTTGGTGAAGTAATATATTATTTTGCTGTATATTAAATTAAATAATTTAACTTAATTTAATTGGTAAATGCAGAAATCATCGGTGATAATATTTGAAAATTGAAAGACCGAACAAATTGAAGTATTGAGTAGGTTTCATCTCTTTTAAGTGGGTAAATTGATACAACGCAACTGGATGTGGATTTTTCAGTTCTCTGAATAAAAGCTTGAAATCCTATCCACAGCGCATTCAATCATTTGCATTTGCCACCAATCGGGATACTAATGTTGATGCTTTTTGTTCAATGATGCGGATGCAATAAATATGATTGTAAAGTATGTACCAGTGGAGTCAGCCTCGAAGTTTCTTCTTCTGATCGGCCGATCCTCAATTTCTTCATAAATTGCTTGATACAAACGAGCAGATGGATATTTTTCCTCTGTTGGAAGTTGACATGTACAGAAATTAAAATATTAACCTGAAATTGCACAGTGGAGTTTGAAATTGATGTGTAAATATTTGGAACATGTTACGTTAGTATTATTATTTGAAAATATCAATATATCATCGTCACTATTGCCTCATTATTCATCAGTGTACTTGTTTTTGTCAGTGTTTGTTTCAATCGGTAAATACGACTGTGCATTTGTATTTAGGTACCTACAAATATCTACTTAGCTCTGTGTGTTGGTGTGTTAATACAACTGTATATTTGTGATGCTTTGGGTATCTACGTTTTTGTGTCAGTTTAACAATTTGTTTTGTATCTTTTACGCAAAATATGTTGTTGTGCTCAGTTTACTTTGAGGCCTAATTGTGTCTGGTGGTTTCTTTATGCATCTGTGGTTGTGTTTGAGCTACGCATTTGAACGTATATGACTTTAATTTTAGTTTGTGCAACTTTACAGATACACGTGAACACAGCAATGAAATCGAGACGGTAAAAACAGGTAAGAGTATTAAATTAACAAAAACAGACACGTGCATCAACAGGATTTTATCTGAATTGATAGAGAAACTCCAGGCAGTGCTGTGAGATCAGATTCCAGTCTCACCTGTTCCTGAAGAATTACTGTCCATCTGTACAATCAGTGCAAACAGTACCACCGCTAACAGGATTCCAAGGACGATGCAGACCACGAAAGGTATGTTGATCAACTGGACTTTGCAAGTCAAGGACATAACATTTGTTATTTTATTGTTGTACAACATGTGGTAGTCACACTTTCGAAACTATAAAGAAAAATGCTTCACACTAAACTGAACGTTATCTGAAGCAAATTATTGCACAGTGATATGATATGTTCCACAGTGTATTCAGAATAATGCCCAAACTATCTGAAAAATTGTCCTGATGCAGCTCTTTTCCTGAAGTTAAACGCCTGTTAATTTCTAAAATGTAGTTATACAGTCTGTTCATTTCTCAAGTGTTGACTACTGAAAGGTTAGTTGACAAATATACTGGTTTGGATATATTAATGTTTTTACGAATGAATGGCAATACCTGGTGGTAATATGTAGGAAAGCTAAGCAATGTGTTAGCAAGAAGTCAAGTAATTATGTTATTTACCAAAGGATGGGGTTGGGATTGGTTGTCTGGGAGGTTTACCTGCAAAACATCACATACACCATAAATCCAGTAACCATTCAATTTCTGGCATCAAATGAAGTCAGAATTAATCTGCTTTTGTTGAGAATAATTTAAAAAACCTCAAATTTGTCGATGAACATTGAGAGATCGGATCCCTACCGGAGCAAACCACACCGGCGTCTTCTTTGTGAACGCAGTCGCTGCGACCCGCGGATGCGGAGACACAATCCCACAGAAAGGATTCGCTTCCTCTGCAGTGAAGCTCGTCCAGCCATATCTGACCAGCGCCTTGTCCGAACCCCGCCTGTCCCACAGCCCGCACGGCCGGGCCGCAGTCCAGCTGTCCGCACACCACACCGGCCTCTCGGATATCCCAGGAGTCGTCACACACCGTCCCCCACGTGTTATTGCTCAGTATCTCAACTCTCCCCGAGCAAATGCTGCTTCCTCCAACCAACCGCATCTCCTGTCCTGATCAGACAGCAACAACAACAACAAGATTACATTTGTATAGCGAATTTCGCGTCGAGAGGACGTATTGATAGACAGTATTCATATCACATGTTAGTTACTCACACCAATAAAATACGCATTCTTCCATATTGTCATCAATAGAATTTATCATGTAAAGTATTATTTACAGGATCTGTTATAAATAAACCTTCAAAAATAAATATTAGTGATAATAATTTGATCACTAGATCGACAATTGGTTGTGGGACACCGCTGTGCTCAATTGTCTGCCGCGTTTCGCCCACAAATATGCAGTCGCTTCACTTTCCAGTAAATTCCGTGAAGCGCTTTGACAATTCAAGAAAATGTGAAAAGCGCATTATCCAATGGAAGGATTATTATTATTGCAGTCAAACCACGTTACAGTAGATAATGTGAAGCGCACTTAGAATTCCACCTGATGTGAATGATTTGATAACAAATACAAATTCTGTTCATTCATTTATTTTTCATTCAGTACCTGATAAACGAATCTGCTGATCCGGTGATCTCCCATCGCATAGTTTTGCCCTCTCCCTTTTTTCCGGAGCTTTCTCTGCATCAAACATACATCAGATAAGCAAACTGGTTCAAACATAAACACAATAAATATTCAATCAGAGATGTGAACTAAGGGACATTTTACTACCTGAACACATCACACCCACATCTTCCGAATGAACACAGTTATGTTCACCCCAAGGTCGTGAGGAGCACTGCCACAGGAAGGATTCCTTTGAATTGCACTCCATGTCATCCAACCAAATAGGCCCAGATCCTTCGTCAAATTTACCATCATATTCAACGTCCAGAGCTTTGCCACAATCTAACTGTTTGCAGATGACCTCAGCTTCGTCCATTCCCATGGAGTCCGAGCAGACTGTGCCCCAGGTCCCATTGTAAAACACTTCCACTCTCCCCTCGCAGGAATGTTGCCCACTCGCCAGCCGCAGCATCTTGTGCTCTGTGAGGCAACATGGTGTTATGATGGAATTGAAATCTCTCAACTGCAACGTAGTCAATCTACCTCCTGTAACTCAGTGGTTAGAGCACTCGCTTTGGAAGCGAGAGACCTGAGTTCAAACCCAGGCAGAGGGCGAAATCTTGGGCAAGTTTCCTTACTCCACACAGAGCCTAATAATAATCCTCCAAAACCAAAAACAATAATAAATTGGTCAGTTTCAATTTACGACTGTTTGTGGGACATTGCTGTGCGCAATTGGCTGCCGCGTTCGCCCACAAATATACAGTCAATTCACTTTACAGTGCATTCTGTGAAGCGCTTTGGGACGTCCTCCCGACGTGAAAAGCGACTAATCAAATTCAAGGATTATTATTATTATTTTTACAGCTGTTTCTAACTGTGGTGACGAAACATCTAGACACATACTGCCATGCAATATCCCACATCTAACCACAAATAGAACATAATAATAATAATATTAACAATAATGATCCTTGCATTTGATGTAGCGCTTTTCACGTCAGGAGGGCGTCCTAAAGCGCTTCACAGAACGCACTGTAAAGTGAATTGATTGTATATTTGTTGGCAAACGCGGCAACCAATTTCGTTTTGGGTTTTGGAGGGATTATTATTAGGTGTGTGGAGTAAGGAAACTTGCCCAAGGTTTCGCCCTCTGCCTGGAATTGAACTCAGGTCTCTCACTTGCAAAGCGAGTGCTCTAACCACTGAGCTACAGGACTCCACATGTTTCATCGCCAGGATAGTTGGCCCCGGCACAAAGGCAATCATTCTTGCCTTTTCCAGCATTGCCCATGGGATCATTTTTTCTCAGGTGAACAGGTAATAACATCATTAGAGGCACTGATGGTGCACTGAATTGTTAGCTTTTGCCAAGAATAATCCATTAGGCCTTTGAAACCAAATACCATTTAGCTGAATGGAGAAAGCGCTACAATCTGATCCGAGCTCACACCCTATCAGTGGAATTTGCTGATGTGAGACATAGTGCTTAATCTCTTACCTTTACACACGACGCTCACATCTTCTTTATGATAACAGTCATGTTGCCCCCATGGAGAAGAGGGACATTCCCAGAGAGCTGATTCCTTTCCTGTACATCTCACGTCATCCAACCAAACTGGAGCTGAGGCTCGTCCACAAGTGGCCGCAGATGTAGCATGAACTGCAGGTCCACATCCGAGCTGTTTGCACACAACATTCGCCTCAAGTGAACCCCAGGAGTCATCACACACCGTCCCCCAGGTTCCGTTGTAGTAAATCTCCACTCTCCCGGCACACGAACTCCCACCGTCCATCAGTCTGATCTGAACATCTTCTGCTGAAAATGAGGAAAGTTTGTTCCAAGGTATAACATGCACCGATTTAAAATGCTATTTAAAACCTCCTGGTGAAATAAAAAGTATTGGTAAACGTTCACTCACTTGAACTCTGAACTCCAGTACGAAATGTTTTCCAATTTGATTCGTTTAATGTTAGTTGTCTGTGTTCTGTTGCAAAGTAAAACAATATGTCAAGTTTCTATTTAGGATATAGAGAGATCGTTTGCGCTTTAATATTATTCATCATCCAAAAAAATGAATTGATACTCAATGTACATGTGTGAACTTTCATTGTGTATTGACGTTCATACTCTTGTCCCAGCATCACAGGTGGTGTAATTCAAACTGGTGGGACATTTCTACATCAATTGAGATGATCACTCACCGAAAGAGAGGCATAATGTAAGTTACTTAGCAATGTGTTGCCAAAATTAACAAAGATTTATTCCATTTATTCTATTTATCAGTCAAATGCACTCACCCGAACAAAGCACTCCCACATCCCGGCTGGTCCCGGAGGATGAAGCCACTGTGGAATGTGGGCAGTTCCAGATGTGCGTCTCGGTTCCCATACACTGAACATTATTGATCCACACAGGTCCAGTGCCTTCCCCGTACTGGGAAGAGTTGTAGATTGAAATGGCAGAGCCACAGTTCAACTGTCGGCAGATGACATCGGCATCTGATATATTCCAGGAATCGTCCAGCAATCTGCCCCAAGTGCCGTTATGATAAATCTCCACTCGCCCATCACAGCGGCTCCCACCGCTCTCTAACCGTGAGTGCCACTGTGTACCTGCAACGATTTCAATGCACAATTCATACTGAAAGCTGTAAGAGCTGAAGATAAGTTTATCGTGTTATTTATTGAAATTAGGCGTTTCGAATGTGGCAATATTCCCGACAAAATGACACAGTAATATACATAATAACGTAGAAATTATAAGAAATTTTCACAGACAACGATGTTACTGGTGTTCGCAGCTACACATAATCAAGAGACAATAACGCAAAAAATGACAGCAGCCTCCAGCCCAAGTGCACAAATAACCTCATGTGCCAGGAGGAAACAAATACGTGAATAGAAGGAGAATTTTTAAAAGAATCGTTGCATTTCTAGCAGAAGAGCATTATCGTCACAATCTAAAACCAGAGATTGTCCTTCATCAGGACCAGACTACTCTATGGGAATCAGGAGTAAACACTGTGTCTCAGGATTCTCTGCTCTCGTGTGCAATAATAAAATTAATATTTATTTTGTGCTGATTTTTAGAGATGGAGATTACTGTCTCCTCTGATACCTGAATAATAACTCATCGCAAATCGTACTCACACAATAGATCAGATTCTCTAAGACAGACAGCGTGTCATTTAAGCAAAGGTAGATTTTACTTTTAAAGAATATGTCCCATTATTTTTTAAGTTGTTGGCTTTTCCGCCGACAAAATATGCAGCCAGATTTCATGAAGATATATTATTTGAAGCGCGTTGAAGAAGTCTGAATGACTTAATGATAATCACTTAGTAATGCACTATATCAAACGAATTGTTATGTCACTCACCGGAACATACAACAGTAACATCATGGTCATGTGTAGAGCTGAACTTCTCCCAGAATGATACAGGACAGTCCGAAACTAGGGATTCATTACCGACACAATTGAAGTTAGTTTTCCAGATAAGACCTGTTTCTTTCCCAAACTGTGTTCCAGAACCAGTTGACAAAGCGAAGCCACAATCCAATTGCCGACAGAGCACATCGGCGTC